GCATACATTCTTTTGGGTTCTGAAGATTTCATCTCAACTTTTGGATTCAAAGACTTCTCAAAATCATCCCTTATATCCCGTATTTTCTTGTTGGGGGTCAACCTGACATGAACGCTCATGTATGCTCCCCTCCCGGAGTCATCGAACACCCCAGGTGGGTGGTGAAACACAATCACATCGATCCACGAATTGCTCAAACGCACTGTTGCCCTGCTATCAACGTTGTCTTCAATGAGTTCCCAGTCGCCTCCATTGCGAGGTCGACACCATGTAGATCGCTTCCAGTGCTTGATGCCATTCGAGACCTTGACAATCCGATTTGGCCGGATATGATCTCGAATCAGGACGTTCATGCGAACTCCGTCCACCAGTGGGTCTTCTCCATCTTTGCAAATCCAAAAGAGCCGATCCCTGTTACCCTCACGGATGCAAAAAGACACAACTTCGCTAAGGAGCTCGCCGTCCAATGTCTTCACTGACACGTTCTTGTTGTCAAACGGTCCATCTGATGCCAAATTGTTTCGGATCAGTCGCTCAAGCTCATCGCGATCATTGGGAGGCTCTCGAGATCGTTGTGGCAACGTTGAAGTTCGAGGTCCATCCATGGCCCCTGAAGATCGGGATCCGTCATCGGTCCCTGGCACGTCCGAAATGTGCGGTGGAGGATGGTCTGGGCTCCTGGGAGCTGGCCTCGCAGATAGTGGCCTCGGCGATGGACTTCTTCCCCTGGATGCTTGTGCATGTCTCCAAGGAGGTAACTTGCGACGAAAACTTGGTGATCTTCTGCGCCTTGCGGGTGGCGACGGTGGCGTCGGTAATCTCCGTCGACGCAATGGACTCCTTGATCTCCTTCCGGTCTCGGCCATCCTTTTGATCTCAACCTGTTCTGTCCTAAGATGTCCAACATCTGTTGCAAGCCCTTGTACCAAACGTCTAATCTCATCAAGTTGATCTGATGTAGGATGTCCTGCAGCGGGGTGATCTGATGTAGGATGAGATGAATGTCCACCTGAAACATCATCGGCTGGAGCATCGCGCACGTCACGGCTTGAAGCCACATTGCCTCGTGATCGTGCTAACCTTGACATGTTCGGGATCAAATGTCGAATTTGTCCCAAGCTCGCAGCCATGTCCTTACATCCATGACAAACTCCACCACAACGCATCTCTCCCCACATCCAAGATGATGCATGAATGAGAACAACGTCATAACCAAGGACCTTGAGACACCTGTAGGCAGCAAATCCCTGTCCCACTGACCTGTGGCGACCCGACTTGCATTCCAAATCCACCAGCACCTTACTGTCGGCTTCCTGTTGTGTGACAAACTGGAGGATGTTGTTGAGATGTTGGATGAACTTGTCGACCTTGCTCATAGTCTCAAGGATTCCATGATGCCAACCCACATGAGATCTAAGATTTATGTCCTGATCAGGATCATAAATGTCTTCACAGTTGATGCTCAAAGTGTTCCTGCTAGATCTGCATGCATGTTGTTGAAATCTGCGTCCACGAGTCATGATGACCACCTTTCTGTCACTGCGCAGCTCTTCGTTCAGCTTCGTCTGCAAGATGTCATAGTCCCTCGAATGAAAACCACACATGTCATGGTCAGCCATGGCAACTTCCGATGTGGATGCTGTGTATGCGATATTGTACTTTCTGTGACACTTCGGGATTTGGGGAAGTTCATCCGACGGTGTGTTGTTGATGTTGGTCAATCCTTCAGTCAAGTTCATCACAAGTAAACCTGATTTGGAACATCTCTTGATATTCAATGGTTGATCTTTGATGGAAATCACCCCTTTTGCTAGGTCCTTCACTAGGCCTAACTTGGTTTGCGCATGCAATGAAAGAAGCAATGGGCTGTTGCCTGTTGACAATTGATATGAATCCAACTCCCCATGCATGTTCCCGTCTGGAAGCAGCAGCGAAAAAGGAATAGATCTCACACCTTCGGTCTTGGTACTACCACTTCCCAGACCAGCAAAACTCTTACAACCGTCATCCTTCAATGGCATGCTGTAACCTAATCGGGCCAGTCGTGCTTCTGCATCGACTGCCCAGGCTTTGCTATGACAAGTGCTGTTGCAACCTTCATCCAATACTGCAAAAACATGGGGTGACTTGGCAATGTCAACAGTTTCATAGTTCATGTAAACCAAGTCTTGAGGGTATTGAGTGTCACTTCCATGCAAACAAATGCCAACGTACCCAGCTAACTCCCTGCCCGAGGGGTCGCCGTGCCCATCTTCATTGACAAGAGAAAAACTGTCCTCTTCCTCTGTCACGTCATTGATGGCTTGATGCAGTAGTTCATGAAGTCGTGCACGGGTCATCACCTCAGATTGGCAGGTTTCGGTAACGAGAGTGGCAAACAAGGGTAACAACTCTTCCAACTGGACTGGATTCAATCCATCCGATTCTTCAACCAATGATTCAACAATGGGGACTGTTCGAACTGATGCTGTTTCAACCTTCTTGGCAATGGCAACACGCTCCTTGCGAATCTGCATAGGGGCTTCATCAATGAAAGTGCAACACTTCTTGCAGAAAGTACGGTGTGTTGATTTGCTGGATCCCCTAAAATCGGTGTCATCATGAGGGCAATTTTCAGGGGACATCAACGGTACCATGTCACGCCTTGTTGTTTCGGAATGACCGCACACAAGACAGGTCTTCCTGATGGTGTACCCCGTAGAACCTTGTTTTGTAAACTCACGACATTCCTGACACTTGTTCGGCAAAGGAGGATTAGGGGGTTTCTTTCTGCCAGTTCCCCGAGCCACCAACAAATCTCGGTGCTCGACATGCTCAACAGGGACTTCGCGCAAGTGAATCCCATCAGCACCAACCACAAAGTACTTGTCAACCCAATTCAACCATGTGACATAGTATGGGCTCTTGGGGGTATGTTTCTTGGCATGATGATAGTACCCTGTCTGTTCAAACAACACATTCCAGAAAGACAAACCCTTGAACTGTCCAACAGGAAAGATGCACCCATGGTCCTCGGGTCTCATTGCAACATCGAGATCCCGGGAAATCAAGCCAACGTTGCTGCTGGATGCTGCTGCACGTGAAGGTCGACTGCTGGGCTTCGCTTGTCGAACTGCCATCATAGCAACTCCATCTCTGTCACGATCAGGTGAAGCTGTCAAAGTCACACCATTGTCATCTGAAGAATCGCTCATGTCGGCAAAGTGAGCTGCGGGCTTTGGGGCTGACTTTCCAGGGGCTCCGGCTTTCGACCCCGGGAATTTACATTCCGGGTCACCGGCCCAGTGCCCTATGACTCCGCATCTCAAACATTTGCTCTTCGACTTCAGCTCGGTGAGCTTCCGTCTCCTCTGATCGATCGTGAGGTTGGACTTCACGATCTTTCCTTTCCCCTTTCCTTTGGGCTTCCCGAAGGATTTGCCCTTGCCACCTGCTTTCCCCATTGCGGTGAAAGCAGCAAGTTGTAGCTGGATGGCGTCTCCTGCTTGTCGATCGTCTTCTGCACCTTCAACTTCAAGCAAGCTGTTCAATGCAACTGCTTCGTACTCATCGACGTCGTCAAAGTAATCAAATTCGTTGTCACCTTCTAGGTTTCCGGGCTCCTCTTCTGCAATGTCACCAAGCATGCCAACATATGAATCATCCTCCCAGGATTGATCCACAGCTTCATCCCAAGGTTCTGCATGTTCCTCCCCATCATCGGGGTAGGCTGCATAGGCTGCTTGGGAATACGATCCCTTCGAAGAAGGTCTGCCTTTGCCATAACCCTTGCCTGACGACTTGCCATGCTGTTGAGGATTGCCACGTCCTGTCCAGGATCGTGACCCTTCTCGCAAGTGAGTGCCACTGTAGTTCTCGATCAGCACCTTGCCAACACCTTCAAAATCCTTAGTGTCTGCACAGGCCTTCACAACGAGGATCTCCTGTCGATTGAGCCCACTCAACTCCAACATCAACTCTGTCCTCAAGCTGTCCGAAAACACCATTGTGTCATCCAACTCGCATAGCATGTGCCACCAACGTCGTCTCCTCTGAACATAGGAAAGCATGGGTTCGCCTGGTTGGCGAGACAAAGGACCACCTTGCTTCTGTCCTGCTCGAAATAATTCCTTGGCTTCCTCACGGGCTCTTGGAAACACATGGGATTTGATCTCACCCACAAGTTTCACAAGGCCACCAGGTTTGGACAACACTTCAAGTCCAAGATCCCTAGCTATTGAGAAAGCATCTCCTCTCAGTCCTTCAATCACCTTGTTAACCAATGGTCCACGATCAATGTCTGTCTTCTGCTTGCCGGACTTCGAGGATTTTCGGCTCGCTCCAGACTTCGGAGTCGAGACTGCTGATGTAGGCTGGGCTGCTTGAGTAGCACCCGACAAATCTGGAAAAGTAGCATACTCTTCTGCATCTTCTGCGGCTGGCTCTGTTGCTGTGGTCCCAACGGGATCCGCAGGCTTACTTGTCTCCTCCTCCAATTGTTGCTCATAAAGACGAATCCGAAGGAGAGTCCTGAACTGCCAATCATGAAAGTTCGCCGCATCACCTGCATAGATGTATGATCCACTCTTCGTCTCAAGTGGTGCCGACGAATGGCGTTCCTGATTGAAACGAAGGCCATTGATCGACATGATGCTCGCTCCGTTCGGAGTCGAACAAGGAAAAACGTTAACAAGTGTCTGCCCTGGTCAGGGTCAGACAGATTCCCGAACCACGACACACTCGAAGTTCAGTTGATTCCCAAAGTTACCAGACTCAAATTCACAAAGGGTTCCCTGGGTCACTGACGTACCACCGGATGCAGGTCGTCACCTGCTCCGCTACCAATATGAATTGGAAACGGGATCGTCAAATGCCCAACTTTTACCACGGCAGCGCGGTATGACTCAAGGGCCCTAAAGCCAAATGTCAACGGGGGCATGTGATCACTTGGCTATACAAAATATACATTAGACAGGTCAAACTCACAATGGTTTTCACTTGATTATAAAACCCACCATCGCCTCCTTCTTGGCCAAGGAAACCTCAAGCTGGACATAGGGGGGATACAAATGCAAACATATTATCTCCCTATGTTTATGTGTATGATACATTAATATAGAACGTATACCTGAGCAAAAGCTAATGCAACATGATACCCTCGCATTCTACAGCATAAGACACGTGTGTATATTATATATATATATATATATACACAATAGGTGTATTATACAGATTGTATAATACACATTAATGTACGCATTTAGGAATTGGACAAAACCCTTGGTCCATGCGCAAAATCCGAAATGACCTGTCAACATCTCCAAACATGGTGCAATAACAGAGGCGATGCTGTAATGTTCACATGCCCATTTTCGGAGTGCATTGGGGGTTATTGCGTTACCAAGACCAAAAACAGGAACTATGATAACGATGTTAGGACACCTGATGGGTGGTTTCAACCTATATGAAACAAAATTTGTCAGTGGCATTGGGGATCATGATCCTGAACAGGATGCAAAACAGAACATGTCTGAAACCACCAACCAGCAACTATATTTGGGATACATCAACCCAGGGTGGGGGAGACAGTTTCTGATGGGATATTTCATGATAGTTCTTAGAGTCTTGAAGAAAGACACACGCGGTTTTTGGCCAAAGACTGTGTTGACTGAGACTGGGGCAAGCAATGTTGGGGCCTGGAAGAGCATCAGGGTCTTACGGACGAGCATCAAGGTGTTACGGGTCGTCAAGGTACCGGGGGGCAATTCAAACAGATTTATGGAATGACGTCTTGAAACTCACATAAACTGGGAATTTAGATGGATTTAGTGGGAAACTTTGTAACAGTATAATTTATTGGGAAGATATATATATAATATATAATATAATGATATAATGATATAATGATATAATGATATAATGGTATAATGATATAATGATATAATGATATAATGGTATACAACTTGCAGAAAACATGCCACTGTAAAAACTTGCCCCAATGCCGCTCCTCCAACGCAGTCAATTCAATCTTCGAGCCGGCCAGATTCATGTTTTTCTTCTCGGCAATGGCAGTGTCATTCATGACCTGGCGACAGGAACGGTGTCATCACATGGTGCTTCACCCCGTTTCACCACGGTTTTACCATGTTTTACCCATGAAACATAATCAACAACAAATTGAATAATACCGGACGATAACCTGGGATTCCCCATGACTTAGGAAGTTAGAAACAGTATGGAACAGTGAATGACTTGGCGCCTGTGCCTGTGTGACCACTTGATCGCTTTCACCGCTTTCGGCCTTCAAGGAAGCAGACTTGTCAGCCGTCAGAGTGATGCTGCCTCAAGACGCAACTGGCACAACTGCTGGACGGGGGACCAGCAAAGCAAGACCTCCAAAAGGGATGACAAATATCGATCGAATCCAACATCAGCATCCTGAATGGATCAATAGACATGGGATTCGTATACAAATTATACAATTATGACATATTTTGAAACAAGCCACCAAATGATGGATGGGCAGGATGGGAAGTCATTGGAAATTCACAGCTGCGGCCAAGAGACAAAGCTCAACGGCCGTGGGCAACTGCTGATCATCCTGGCTGCACGCGTCTACAAGCTTTGATTTCCAACCCAAACTCTATAGAAACAGTTGGAAACCACCCTTCCCAGGGCGTCCCCGGCCTGTCCATACGAGGCCACACCGATTTCTTTAAGGTAGGCCAGGTCATGCCAGGTCCATGATTTCAACTTACGAATATTTGTATTTCGCAAGCTTTGATCCAAAACGTCGCAAGAGCAAACTGCAAACTGTTGTCTTCCCCAAACATCTAGGATTTGAGATGTGCTCTACCAATTCGGGGAGGTCATACCATTTTGGGAGAGGGACTACTGAATGGTTTTTTCTTGACAAGACTCTAGGGCCCTAGGGCAGAACGCCACGTATGAACCTACCTCGACATACTTCCTCAATCATTTGCCTTGCACCTTTTTGGTCTTTCTGATTTTGGTCCACTACGTTCACTGCCACTTGCCAAGCGGGCGGTTTCCATCTGTGTCCTCGATAAACTGCGCCTGCGGCCCTTTTTCTCTATCCAAACCCTTCGAATCCTTCGAATCCCTCAAATCCCTCGCCCATCTCATCTGGCAGGTCAAAGTTGCCTCACCCGCAATAGGTGTAAAAACGCACAGCATGGAATTATGGCCAGTGTGTACCGGGGATTGTTATCCATTTCTGGCTTAGGCCTTCATGTTTTTCTCCAAAGCAACGAAGGCACGCAGATCGATATATTATATATATATAGTATATGATATAGATACATATTAGCTTAATTGATGTCTCTTATTTGATTCTATTTAATTATTCATTTTTGCCGGGGGTGCATTTATCACATGAACAGCTGACAGCATTCCGGATCTGATTTCCGGCCTTCGGGCTCTAAGTTCTCGCCGTATTGGATGCCTCAGATGGACGAAACTTGGAGAAATCAATGGATCAAACTCCAATGGCTTAGTCTGAAAATAGGGTACCATAGGGTACCCAATTCCAATGGATGATCATCATGTTCTCGGCCGTTTGGGGGTATCCCCTACAAGTATGTTCATCATTGTTCATCTATTTTCAGACAAACCCAAATGTTCGCCCATCCGTTTTTAGGAACTCAGTGGGTCTGATCCATTTTTTGGGATATCAAAGGGCAGCTTGAAGGCCATACAAAGAGGCCAAATGCCAAGGGTGATGACATCGCCATAACATTTGTTTCGGCTGGGATCACCCCCATGTTTTTCCGCAACATTCCGCAACCATGACTTCACAATAACCAAATCTGTGGCCCTCATGTGGGGCACCTGATTTATCATTCGCACGCGCCGCGCGGGTGAGTTCAGCTTTGTAGGGTAAATATATCTGATGCTGCAACCACTGCTGGTTATACTACTTTTGCTGATTGAGCTATCAGTCTTCCTTAGCTAGACTAGTGTACTCTCCAATATATCCAATATTGGCAATGTCAAAATGTTTCAAAATTGAAATGGCAAGTTCTAGTAATCCAGAAATTCATGGTCTATCTTTCAGGCAAAACATAGTGGCAATTTATCTGCCAAACCCATTTTTGCAGGTTCCGCCGCTGGGATCTCTTGCAATGGTTCACATGGGCGAGGCACAACTCGATGGAATCCTGTTGGAGCAGGAACCGAGTTTGTCTTGCCACACAATGATGATTCGAAATGGCTGATAAGTCACTATTTCTACACAAAAAAACAATGTGTAACCTCGATTTTATAATTTCCCCATTTCAATTTTTTGTGGGTAATTATACCCTTTCAAGAAACTACCCACATTCCTGAGGCTATGGATTTCTTAAAATGCGGAAGCTCAAAAAAAACATCAAATGTTTGAATAGCGATTTTGAATGGGGATTGTGCAAACCCAATTTCGGGTAATTAACACAGCCGTTCATCGAACGGACCCAACGGTCTCAAAGATGGTTTACCATGGTGGATCCCCCCATCAAACGGGACTCCAACAGTGTGGATGATGGCGAGTTAGATGCGGCCTGCCCTATCTCGTAAGTTGGGGATGTGTTAAGATTGAAGTGGCCATGGGCTAATGATGTAAACATAGCAATCGCCAACCTTGGGAAAATCAAACCACATCATTGAAGGGACGTAGCCAATTGGATGATGCGGATAGCCGGATAGTCTCAGATGGTTTGCTGAGAGGGTTGTGCTGGGCTTGAGCACGATCATTATGCTCTAGATTGAAGTCTTGTGAATTTCTATCTACAAAGTGAAGCCCCCAAGATACAACTAAGTTCTGGGGGATACAAATAGACAAATCTAAGTTATAAATAAGTTAGGGAGAACAGATATAACTCAAGTTGATCAATTTGTAGCTTAGTTGTATCTTTTATAAGTTTTTTCCGTGGTATTTTTTTGATTTTAAGTACTATTGCAACATTTCGGTATCTTTCTGGGGATCCGACGTCTGGAGCTGTTTTTTTGCGGCAAATTCGATTGGAATCATAACAAACAAATGATTTTAGCACTTTCAGCGCTCGTGAAGGCAGGGAGATGCAAGTTGTGCATGATCTCCAATGGGACAAAATCATTGCCACCGTTCATGTTGAAGCATCTATATGATTCACCGTGTTCTGTCAGTTCCAGAAGTGCAATGTATATGAAAAGTTTCTTGCTCCGCTGAAGGAAGAAACGGCAAATCCCAGCGTTTTCACATCTTTCACCCCAAAGCACAATGGAGTCTTCACGGAGTTCAGTGCAGAACAGGCGACAGCTGCGACTGATTTGCACATCGCGTAAGCCCGTGGTCGACTCCACTTCAGTTTCCGAGAATGGCGACACCAGAGCAAATCCATTTTCAACAAACGGATGCTCCCGGGTAATCTCTATTGACCTGAGCAACAGTCGGGGCAAAAGATGTTGACTGTATGCATGGGCTTCATCTCCTGAGCGTAGGAGCTGAAAAAAATTGTCTGCAAACACTGATTTGTAGTTCTGGTGCGCTTGCTCGACACCCCAGCAACTAATGCGGACACGGTGTTTGCGAAAATGATCCGCTAGGTGTAAGCGGTGGTGATGCTTCGGTCGCATCATTCCAGGGTGCACTTGTTCAAACAGTCTGTGATGCATTTCCTGTCTGGCATCTAATTCAGACCAGTCATTGTTGTTGTTCTCTTCTCACTGCGTCCGTGCAGCGAGCCAGCGCCAAAAAACATTCTGCAACAGGTCTCAAAGCAGGCACATGAATCCAAACTGTTTCACAATGCCATCTGATGAGAGCCATCAATGCGAGACATTGACTGGCGGATCCTTTGTATTCATTTCCAAACAAGGCAGGCGTCCAGAGACGCTTGCACCAATGCATTCCTTCGTTTTTGCTATGTCTTTTCCAGCCGGCTGTGACCATGGACTCGCAGAGGTCTTTGACCTCCACTCCAGTATGTTCTCGTGCTGCATTCAGCACCAGCATGATCTCAGTATTGCATATGCCATTTGCCCAATATGAATGCATGCAATCGTTGATGGCAATACCGATGTTGCAGACACTGCGCGCCCTCGGGTAAGCCCACAGGCTATGCTCATCCAGTAGGAATCCCAAGCATTTCTGTCTGAGGTCTATTTCTGCTTTTGTCATGTTTGCCTTTTGAGCCATCCAATGCACAATGTATCTCTCCAGATCTGTTGGATCGTTCGCGGTGAAGCGCCTGAGATCTGCTTCTTCTATGGTGAGGAAATCATGCGACGCGGCTGCGCAATACGCGCCTTTCATGACGCAGTTTCCACAATGCAGGCACGGCTTCAAAGCCGCGGAGCCCTTAGCTGCATACGCAGCCCGTTGACTTTCCATGTCACTGACAAATCCAACTATTGCCAAAGACAATGGCGCCATGTCGCCAGCGACAACCACATCGCCAGTCAAGTTTTGGTCTAGCCACTCTTCAACAATGCGCGCCGTTACAGCGCTCACTCCACCAGGGCATTGCTGCAACTGTTCGTGAGTTATAGCTGCCAGAGGCATCCATGCTCTAGCAGATTCGAAATATGGCGACAATGGCTTCAATGTGAAGTAAACCAGCAAGGTTTTCATCCGTTGCAGCGGGTTGAGAACGTTCCCTGCAGTAGCTTCATCATGCGCTAAGAAGACCTCCAAAGTCCTTGCTGCTTGTCTTTTCAGCAAAGCATGCAAGGCTGGACACTCTCGCACATACAAACTCAGCAGACGTTGGACATCTGCCATGTAGAATGTGATGTGTTTCTGTCCTGATCCGCTTTCAACGATGCTAACTTCTTTGTAGCAGCCACGATATGGCCCCAAAGCAGCCCGCAACTTTCGTTTGAAGGCGCCTGACATATTTTTGCTGCTGCCCTTTCCGGAAAGCAAATTCCTTATTTTTAAAATGCTTGTTTCACTGTAGCGGGCCATGGCCGTGGCCACATCCCTGCTGTCCGCATGCTTGTGCGTCGAAGAGCTGCTTTGGCTCCTGCACGGCTGCATAACAAACGATAGAGCCCAGACACTGCTGCGATAGGAACTGATGAGATAAATTCACAAAGGGTGATATTATCATCTTATAATATATAAATATACACTATATATATATAGAGTATATATATATTTATAAATATATAACATGATATGGGTGACTCATATAGAACATGCAACACACTTGGAAATATGCAACCAAAGTCCTTTGCTATTTGCGCTTTTCAGTGTTTTCGCTTTGCAGTGCCGGTCCACCAAGTCTTGTCACAAAAGGTTATATTCCAGCTGGTGAAGAAAATGGAATAGCCAATCCCACGGTTCTCCCGTCAAATGGTTTTGCTGGGTCAGCAAAAAATTGAGGCTCGCGGTGACTTCACTCAAATACATTTCGCGGTTGCTGTGTTCAATTGTCCACACTTTGTTTTTTTCCAAGCCAGGCATGTGCGGCACAGGCACTTCCTGCAGGACGTGCTTGGAATGTCCCATTGAAGCAACAGGCCACGGGTCGACCAAAGTACACGGTCACAGAATTTTGTCATAGAGAAGTGTTGGACATACGTCTTGTCGACACTCACCTGGGCTAAGACTTCTTTGATGACTTCCAAATCTTCCGCCATCTTCTCCATCTCTTCCTCGTTTCGACATTGCGCTCGCAGCGACGCAGCCGCGGCCTGCGCAACTGTCAGTGCACACAAGACAGGCATAGCGAGATGATACGCCACGAAGAAGTTTCCCTGCGAGCCAAATGAACCTGTGGCAAAGCAAATGGATTGAAATGTTGACAGAGAACATGTTTTCTGCTTTTGCATTGCATCTATATACAGTACATCAGATCTAATGTTTTACACGCCAGAATCGTATACTTTTGTGTTGTCACAACATTCACAAACTTATGTATGTCTTGATTATAAAGATATCATATGAATCTTATATATATATAATATATATAATATATAGGTACATATATTTGATAGTCCCTGCCGTCGAGCTATAGCCCTGACAGCGAGATATTAATGAATGTATATATATATATACGATATACCCTCCTCATGTCAACACTTGCTTGTTTTCAATCCCCTTGCTTGTCTCATGTTGCACAAACCTGCAAGCTGCAATGGTGGTGACCGCAGCAGCGTCCCAAGTATTAGCTCCGGCTGGCTTGCCGGAAACAAAATATGCTACCAAAGCAAGCTGTGTTCAAAACACAATCCTGCCCCACATGTTCTCTCGCAGAGATTCACTTCTTTGCCTTTGCTTTAGCAGCAGTGCCCTTTAGGTTTTCTTTGTTCTCACGGATGTAAAACTGCAAGCTTCTGATCTCTGCGTTGCCATCCTTGAGAATGCCATTCAGCGCTTTCTCTGTCAGCAAGGCATCTGTTTCCAGCTTCAGGCCATGGCCTTTGGCAGCAGCCGCCAACATGTGCGTCGCATTGTTGATCGTTTCTTCCAGCGTCTTCTGAACATTGGCCACATTTTGTGCAGATGCCTCTGGCAAGCCAGCTCCGATCGTAGAAACCTTGTCCACCAAGGCAGTCAGACGCTCTGCACATCGCTTCAACTGAGGCAGCACCTTGGCGGCCGCAGAAGTTGCGCTGCGTTCCAGCTTCTGGCGCTTTTTGTCTTCTTGCCTCTGCTGCTTGGCAGCCTCAGCAGCAGCCTGCTTCTCCTCCGGTGTCTTCCGTTTCTTCTCTCTGGCCGCAGGCGTGTCGTCGACTTCCACACCCAGATCTGGCAGCGCCTGGGGCGCCGAAGCGGAGCCAGCACTGCCACCTGCCTGCCTGCGCTGCATGCGCTCACGCGCCTGGCTTTCGATGTTGAGCAAACGCTCCTCCACGATCGTGCGGATTTGTTCTTTCGACATCTTGTCTATGTCAACACGAAATGTCGGACCGAGAATCGGATGCTCGCGGCGCTCTGCTAGCTGTTCGATACGATCGCAATCGTATCCCTGCAACATCCAGTGTGACAGAGGCTGAAAGGCTCCTTCGCTGCCATCCTTCTCCACGTGAGCTGTGGACTCGACCATCTTCTGCACCAGCAGTGCTCGCGCCTGCGCGTAGCACAGGCGACCTTCCATGCCGTTGGCACGTTCATTCTTCGCATCAACGAAGAATGTCACTGCAGCACTTTCGTTCAATACTTCTTTGATGTCCACCCCACGCCTCTGCAGTTGCG